AGCTGTCAGCCTCCACCCCAAACCCCGCTTTACCTCCAGCATTTATAATGTTTTAAATATATTAAAAAGTGTTTTTAATTTATAAGGGGGGGGTCGCACTCAGAGGCTTGCTATGTGAAATGGGTCACCAGTCAAAAAAGTTTGAGAGCCACTGAGCTAATGGATTAGATCTAAATTGTGGAAGTAGTAGTAAGGCTTTTATCTTCTGTAGTTCATCTACTGGAGGGCATTGTTCAATAAATTACATTTCATCCATTCTAGTTTTACATGGTCCAAGTGATAGGACTTCCACTGCTTCCTTTATGAGACTCGGCAGAATTCAATATAACATGTTTTAAGCAGTAATAAAGTTTGCTACCATCTTTGTGTTCCCACCTCTCAGTGTTGTGTGCTAGTTTGGTTAATCCCATTATTGGTCTCACTTCCTGACCTCTTACCTCAAATCGATTAAAAAAAAATGCTGTTACAAAATAAAAATAAAGTTCCCCGGACACTTCTAATCTATATTTCATGTGTTGGGCAGTGTATGAGGTTTGAATTTCTGTGTGTGAAGGGTGTCTTGTGAAAACTGTTCTGTGCACAAAGGTGTGGAATTTAAGGTACAGTGACTGTTCCTATTGATCCCACTGTCTCTTTGTTCTGGCCTGTCAAATCTCAGAGGGGCACTGGGGTTTTGTAAGTTTGGAATAACAAAAATAGGGCTAAGGAAATACTAGGATCAATTACTGTGCTTTTTTGTTTGTTTTTTAAATCCTGCCAAATAGTCAGTTTATCGGTTTTCTGTAGTTGATTTCATTGCAATGACTCATCATCACCAATATGTCCAATTGTTAGTTCTGGACTTCGAAGCCTTCTTTACACAGTAGCATTTTTGAGGAAATCTCCCACTGGTGGTAGCAACAACGGGAGCTTAGGGTGAGCCAGCTATCAGTGTTATCACAGCATTGTCTAGACTGCCTCTAAACAGGGTTAAATGACACAATGGTAAGAACACCAGGTGTTTACACTATCCTGGGCAGAACTGCATGGTGTAATAGTGAGACATTTCCCACTAGTGCAAACACCGATTAGTTGTTTTGGTATGAAAAAATTCCAATTGACATTAGTTAATTTATTGTTGACACTCCTAAGACTGAACTTCTCTGTTTAGCCCTAGGACAGCAGTGGACAAGCAGTGGAGGATGGCAGAAGTTTGCACAGCCATCTCAACCTTGATCTCTGTGGGATCACCTGTGAAAGAGAATTTAGTATTCATTCTCAGTCAGGGCTGGGTCCAGAGAGGTGCTGGGCACAGCAACTGTAGCTGTGAATGGGTGATGCCTCTCTTCAAAGGTCTCACAACTTCCTGTGTACAGAGACAGCAGTCATTTTGTTTTCAGAGTTGCCAATGCCTGTGATGAAGGAGATGCATGTGCTCGCACTGTGGTGTTTCTATTTTTGTGCGTGTTTCCCTTAATCCAGAATAAGGAAGCTCCCACATATGTATGTGGGAATTTAACAGTGAGCATCTGCGATTCTCATTGAAGGCAATGAGTTACTTCAGAATTCGACTCCTGGTCTTTGGCCTCCCTGCTGAGGGTACCAATGTGGGGAGCAAATTAGTGTCAGAAGCTCTTCTGGCTCTTGTGATCTGGAACTTATCCACTAGGAAATGACATCGACCACCAACACATAGCTTATGATTTTCAGTAACCTTTCAACTGGGCCAGATTTAACCTAGAGGAGAAACGACTGGTAATGGATCAGAGCCTCTGAGCCATGAAAGGTGTAGCCCAGCACTTCTCATAGAGCTGGTTTTCTACCGCCACGCTAGTGAGAGAAGAACAATAATTCCTCCACATTCCTTTCCAGCATGCAACCCCTGAAACAATCCTGGGGAATTTCCTCTTAGAGTGTACTGACTACTGCTACAAAACCACAGTTCATAGAGGTACTTGTGAAAGAATGTACCAATGTCACTGATAGTCTGTATGAGTTGGTATCAAAATGTGATCTTCCCTTGATATTGGAACTGCCATTTTTAAAAAACGTGTCTTGCAGTTTGAGTGTGTAGCTAGGACTTTAACCATCTGACTGGTGCTCTGAAGCTGGTCAGTGGGTCAGGGACCTAACCTTATGTAAGGGTAAGACCTGCTCTCGCCTCACTCTCACTAGCTGAACACTGCCAGAGAGAAGGACTGCAGAGAGATCTATCTGCCTGACACATGGACTGGGCCTAAGGCCTCACAAGAAGCGGTGAGGGGTGGGTGAGAACATATAGGCTTCTGTTTTCGTAAAGTTTCATAACTCATGTGCGCTTTCTTGTGCAAAGCCTTACTTTACCTTCCGTGCGTCCCTGAAGAGCCAAACGATAATCCAGCGTACCCATGGAGGTGGACTCCAGCGGAGCATGAATAATGACTGGGAGGCTCAGGAGACCAGACACTGAGTTCAGCTTCTAGAGCAGCTGGGCCGTGGGACTCCACAGTTCAAGGAAGGGGGCCAGACAGAGGGTCCGCACCCAAGAATGAACCCTAGAGGCCCACAATTAGAGACAATGACTGGATGTTGCCCAGATCCAGTTGGCCTGGGGACATCTGGAATCCAATTACAACATACTGGTGATCATCCAGTAGAGGGACTCAGCTAAGTCTGGAACTACTTTTGAATCAATGTACTGGAGTGCCTGCCACTCCCATTTCGTGGCAGATGAAATCATGAACACTGAACAAGGAAAGGAAATTCATCAGCATCCAGAGCATTTCATTTTTTTTTAAAAAAGTCAGCAATATAGAGAACATTGCAGAGCTGTTACTGCTAGCTCATTAAAACAAAACAAAGGCTCAGTCTAGAGGCGCTGCTATGGGGCATCGCATTGATAACCATATTAAAATCCATCACTGTGCTAATAGCCATATAAATATACTTGATTTGTATAAAATACACTTTAAAAACTAGAGAAGGGCAGAGAATAGGGAAAGAAAATGAGATCCACTTGGAGGGAGCTAACGGGCAACAGCTTCCCCAACAGAATAAAAAATTATCCATATCCCTCAGGAAGCTTTAACATCCACCTGTGTGCCGATGAAATGCTGGGTCGTGAGCCCATAGCTCATGTTTTCCACACATGAAGGCCGAATACAGAACAATGTAATTGATCCCATACAGTCTGGTTCTAGAATAATTGACAGATGCTGAGGAGCTTCTCTGTTTCATGCCACTGGTATGAGGCCCCTCAATAACCTTACACCAGTGGAGGAGCAAGCACAGGGTTCTGCCCACTCTCTACCTAGCATTTGGAATGCTGGAGGTGAGAGGTGAGTACAACAGGAGCAGCCTCTGCAAGCCAAATGCTAGCAGAGATTTCCCCTCTACTAAGGAATTCTCCAATGGCCACCTACAGCTGGAATCTGTCCATTTTGCACTGCCTGAGCAGCATGAAGTGGACTTAGACCAGAGAGTCTGGCCCATGAGCCTGGTTTTATTAAGTGTTGTTAATGCAGCTGCTACTAGTCTTCTCCTTAATATGGCTTCATTAAAGTACAGACATTGTTAAATCTTTCCATAACTGAAACCAGATGACTTGGAACAGGGTCACATACTAAGTAGCAAAATAGAACCCACTGAGAAAAATGCTGGAGAGGAAGCTATACAAGCAGTAATTGGAAGTAACTCAGTGGGTGCAAAGGCTCTTTGATGAATACTTTATTGTGTCTCCACAATGCATGCCAATAATAAAAATGCTAACAGCAGAGTAAGGACAAAAGATCTAATAAAAGGGCACATTGAGATACCAGGTATTACAAACATAACATACAGCTGAGTAATGTCCATGACAGTGACGGAGACCAGTTTCTCTGACTTGTTCAAACCAGATCTTCTCTATGTTCAGTGAACTGTGGCTAAGTAATCGGCATATATGTCATTGCTGGGGCTCTCTTTCTCCAGGGCTATGACATCTCGAATGTTAAGAATGAGAATTTCAAAAATACATGACAGTTAGGAGCCCACCTGTCTTTAAAAATCAAACTCTGCTGGGTGCTTCTGAAAATCCCATCCTATTAGACTATTTACTCTGATTGAATTGGCCCTGTCAACACTGGTTCTCCACTTGTGAGGTAAAGCCCTTCTCTTCATGTGTCAGTATATAATGCCTTCATCTGTAATTTTCACTCCATGCATCTGAAGAAGTGGGTTTTTTACCCATGAAAGCTTATGCCCAAATAAATCTGTTAGTCTTTAAAGGTGCCACCAGACTCCTTGTTGTTTTTGTGGATACAGACTAACACGGCTACCCCCTGATACTTGATCTGACACATAGTAAATTATCATCAAAACTGGAATATCTATATTTGGTCTCTACCTCCCCATCTTGTACCCCATTCATTGGAAAATGCAGACTCTTAGACCATTGAGCCCGTCTCCCTCTGTAAGGATAATGTCAGCTGTCAGAGGATGTATCACAGCAGGTAACTAAAGGATGAATGCAAGACTGGAAGGTGGAAAATCTGGATTTGTATTCCCAACTCTGCCACTGACTCCCTCTTTGACTTTGAGCAGTCACTTAACCTCTTGATGCTTCAATATCCACATCTGTAAAAGTAAACAGAGCTTTATGAAAGTGAGTAATACCCCTGAGATCACATTAGAATCGCAGTATGCTTTTTATGCCATGAAGGACAAGACAAGTGTCTCCTCTTGTGATTTGTTGCCTGTAGCACAGTTATTTTTTAAAAGAAGGTAGCTCAAAGGGTAGGCAGCTGCCTGTGTTTTTGATTGCACCTATTTTCTGAATATCCATATTCCATTGAAATAATAAAAAAGCAGTGAATCTTGACGCGTTCATTTGAGAAACAAATCCACGCTAGTTCCATTAGGCAATAAATGCAGTAAAGGGTTAATGTTCCTGCCTCCCGTCTAATTGCTTTCTGTTTCTCCCAGGCGGAAGTTGTAGAGAGCAGTTGAAGTTTAAGGGTGGTTTTTTTTTATTCCAGCCACTGAGACTAGGAGACAGTGCCCAATCCACACACTCAAGAGCGTGAGCTGAAAAGATGACAAAAGAATCAGAGGGGAAAGATCCCCTCCTCTATTACTACTGCATCAAATTTGCTCTCTCTGGCTATTCCACTCTGTTTTCGGTAGGTCTTTCAATCATTTCCAACTTTTATGTTGTTTATGGGAATTAACACACAGTACCTGCCTGGTGGTTTGTTTTACTTTCTGTTTCTTAGAGCTTCACCCTCTGAAATATAAAATCTACTGGTTAATAATGCTGTCTGGAATTGGGCTGCATTGTAGGAGGTGCCCATTTGTGCTGCTAGAATTCTGTTTGTATTTAATACAGGATGATCTCCATTTTGCTGGATTTAATATTCTTTCTGCCTGATCTCCACCCACCCCACCCCCGCCCCTTTAAAAAGCCATGACCTGGCTCATATATCAGACACGCCTTTATTTTAAAAATACAAATCACATCAGGAATCTAACGTCTTAATGGTGCAAACGTTTACTTCACAATACTCCCAGCTAGATTGTTTGTACTCTACATTTGCCTCTGGCTCCATGCTTAAAGCCTTGTCTCTTTCAATGGAGATCAGGCAGGAATTGGATGTGAAATCTGCCAGCTGTGGTTACTAATATCCTCGAGTTCTTAGTGCTTGTGGTTTTGGCCAGACTTGTCCTTTTTAATTTTTTTTAAGAAATCTCCATTTAATCAGCACAATTTTGAAGATGTTAATTCTTAATGCAAACCAGGTCAGTGTGATA